GGTGTTGCTGAGCACAACATTGTGCTCAGCTATCTCACTTAAACCACTGCAGATCACAGGGTTTGTGAGGGATGAAACCCACCCCTGGAAGCCTGCCTCATGTTCTCCTCCTCAACATCATCACAGCAATGATACTTCTCCCTTACAGCTCCTGCTGTGCCTGCTGTGGTCTCACAGAAACTGAGTCTGGATAAAACAGGTCCTAAGCCACCAGGAAGACATCCTCTTCCTCCTGCTGCTGTGCCTCAAAACCCTGGTCTGGTATCCTCCGCAGTATCTGCTCCAGAAGTAACACTACATGAATAGTAATGTTGTCTGCATTGTCACAACTCACTATTCTGGTTGCCTCCTCAGATGTCACTATACAGTGCATGCATCCTGAATGAAGAGTCATTGCTGAGTGATGTGAGGAAAAGACCGTAGCTGCCCCGAGCCAGTCCTTGTGTCAATACTGACACAGGTTCTCATTTATGGCCTACTAATGCATGTGCAGCTGCTGTAGTGTGGTCAAGGTAGAGTTCTGCCAGGTAGGCATATCCCATATAGGTGTGATTATACAGATGTGAGTTCGCACTAAATTTCACCCATTCGAACACTGGTTGGTTATGACCACCTGAAATGGCTACCAACTCTTCTGGTCTGTCTCAAAAGATCCTGTAAGCCATGCTACCTAACAGAAACCACTGCACCACCAGGTTGAGGATGCATACCAGGCAAGAAATGTGTGTGAACTTATTTGCTGAAGGGCAGATAACAGGTTGGTGCCAATATCACATACAACATTCATAGGTACAAAATAGTGTGGGGTTAACCATCTATGGGCCTGCCCTGAAGAACTGACAGAAACTCCCCAGTGTGGCTCCTGTCCCCTAGGGATACCAGTTACCTTAACCAAATGGCAGCATTTTGCCTGAGTTATTGCATAGCCTCTTGGAGGGAACTGGCGGTTCTGAGGATGGATGAGTTACCAGAGGGAGTATAGGAGGAGGTGGAGGTGACTAATCAGGTGTCAGGACCTACGTCATTCTACTTCCTTCCTGGCCACCAGCAAAGTGACCTAGTGGGCTGAGAAAAAAATATAATGCCTTTGATACTTTCTGGACCACATGTCTGTGATCATGTGGACCCTGCAGCTGACTGCATGGTTCAGAACATAGAAACATTACCTTCTAAATGATGGAGGAGGGTGGGGATGGCTTTATGGGTGAAAAAGTGGCTCCTTTGAAACTGCCACTGCAGTTCAGCACAGGTCGCACATCCACGGAACAAGGCAGACTCCATCAGCTGGAATGGCAGCAGCTGTAAAACCAGCTGACATTGACAGGCTGGGTATGGGGTTGGCCAGGGGCATACTTTTACATTTGTTCCTATGCTAAAACAGCTAAACTTGTCTGCTCAGTACTAAAGCTGGAGATGGCAGGGTGGGGTTGGCAGAATCATCACATGGTTGCAGCTAACCCTCGCCCCTACTTTGTGTGTCCTCTTCCGGACTGGAAGTGCCATAAAGTAAACCTGTGACACCCCTTCTGCTTGGGGCTGCCTATAGGGAATGTAGTCAGGGAAAAGGTGGAAAGGAAAGAGCTGGATGGAGGAGGAGTGTGGCCCTTTTGTTTCCTACCACTACATAGTTGCCTCACTACACAGTGCCCCCTTACATCAGTAACCCCATTTAGAATACCCTCATATCAATTTCCCCCAATCAGAGTACTCCCATAGATTAGATGCGCCCATCAGAGTTCCCCAACAGATCAGTTGTACCATCAGAGTACCCACCTAGATTGTTTGCCCCTATCAGAGTACCCCCATAAATCTGTTGCCCCCATAGATCACTTGCCCCATCACAGTTCCCCATTGATTAGTTGCCTCCATCAGAGTGTCCCCGTTGATTAGTTGCCCTCATCAGTGTGTCCCCATTGATTATTTGTTCTCATCATAGTGCCCCCATAGATTAGTTGCCTAATCAGAGTGTCCCCATAGATTAGTTGCCCCCATCAGAGTGTCCCCATAGATTAGTTGCCCCATCAAATTATTATATAGATCGGTTTCCCCCAGAGATTAGTTGCCCCATCACCGTGCTCCCATAGATTAGTTGCTCCATCAAATTATTATATAGATCGGTTGCCCCATCACCGTGCTTCCAGAGATTAGTTGCCCCATCATAGGCCCCATAGATTAGTTGCCCATCACAGTGTCCCCAGAGGTCAGTTGCCTCATCACAGTGTCCCCAGAGGTCAGTTGCCCCATCACAGTGTCCCAAAATATTAGTTGCCCCATCAGACTCCCCCAGTAGATCAGTTGCCCCATCACAGTGCTCAGTGTACCTGTAGGAGAAGTCCCTGTAGCTTGCCAGGCAGGAGGGAAAATGTGTTGCAGGGCATCGTTGCTCGGGACGCTGGCAACCAACAACTGCTGCTTACTGGACCAGGACTTGTGGGCGGTCACCAGTGTGCCCCCCAACACAGCGCCTGGAAGGCCCCATTGGAATATTTCCCCTTTATCCCTGTTTTGTGACAACCCAAAATTTGGAATGTCCTTTAACATTTGGTGGTAATGGTAAACATGAAAAATAGAGAGGGTGAATGTCCCTGGCACACAGAGCAATAAGAACCTGACAGGTGCTCTAATCCCTGTCCATCCTATCCAAAACAACAACAAAAAAAGTTTTCCTTTAGTTATGCTTTAACACAGCCTTTCTCCACCCTTTTAACACAGCAGAATCCTTGAAATAACCTTCCAGTGACAGGGAACCCCAGCTAATTATTATCTACAACTCATGATACATTAGTGTGATGGTCACTGGGATGAATGCTCTTTACACTTGTGGTAATTGGGAAGAATTACCCACTTATAGATAGCTAAAAAGATCAATGGTGTCAGTGAGAACTTATTTGAGAGGAAGAAAAATGCTCATTGCTCAAGGAATCCTTAGCAAACTCTGGAGGAACCCATGGAACCCTGGTTGAGAAACATGTGTGCCAGAAAGGGGGGGGGGGGGGGGGGGATCTGGTTCGGCAGTGAAAGGGTTAAAAAAAATTAAAAACCCATTTGTTTTGGCAGTGAAAGGATTAAAATGACAATTTAACTACTTGCCTGCTGTGCACTTATACCCTCTTCCTGCCCAGGCCAATTTTCAGCTCTCAGCGGTGTCACACTTTGAATGACAATTGCGCGGTCATGCGACATATGACATTTTTATCATTTTTTTCACACAAATAGAGCTTTCTTTTGGTGGTATTTAATTGCCACTGGGTGTTTTATTTTTTTGCGCTATAAACAAAAAAAGAGCAAAAAATTAGCAAAAAAAGTTTTTCTTTGTTTCTATTATAAAATTTTGCAAACAAGTATTTTTTCTCCTTCAGTGATGTGCATTGATGAGGCAGCACTGATGGGCACTGACAGGCAGCACTGATGGGCACTGATGAGGTGGCATGGATAGGCAGCACTGATGAGGCACTGATAGAGGCACTGATAGGCGGCACTGATAGGCAGCACTGATGAGCTAGCACTGATAGTAGGCACTGATGGGCAGCACTGATAGGCACTGATGTGGCACTGACTGACAGCACTGCTGGGCACTGATGGGTGGCACTGACTGACGGCACTGCTGGGCACTGATGGGCGACACTGCTGGGTGGCACTGCTATGCACAGGTGGGTGGCACTGCTGGGTACAGGTTGGCGGCACTGATGGGCACAGGTGGGTGGCACAGGTGGGCGTCACTTCTGGGCACTGATCATCAGGGGCCTGATGATCAGTGCCAATCACTTCTCTGACAATTGTCGGTTATCGGCAGTAGTTTCCTCACACTGAAAGTGCAGCCAATAACTGGCAACTGTATTTACTCAGTGATCTGCTGTGTCATTGGACACAGCTGATCACGTGGCAAACGGTCGCTGTGATTAGCCATTTACTGTATCATGTGATCAACTGGGGCCGAGCAGGGGGCATGTTCTGGGAGGACGTCCATGGATGTACTCCTAGAACTAGACAACCTCGTTTTAGCTGTCTTTTGGCTATAGCGCGGTATGGAAGAGGTTAAAAAAATGACTAAAACTGGTCTGAGCGCTCGCCCCTCCCTCTCTCTCCTCATGTCTGCGGACATCCCTTCACCTTCTATGTGTAATCTGCTGTCACCAAAGAACAAAGGTATACCGCTCAGGCAAACAATCCAGATCAATCCACAACAGGTGCAGGCTCTGGCTCACCACCACACACGATGCAACAGGAAGAAGGGTCAGCCGCACACCAGAGGATAGATGAATATAGTGAGTATTTATTGATCCATAGGACACACAAAACACCAGGACGTGAATACAGGACTTGTTAACGCGTTTCACATGATCTCGTGCTTAATCATAACAAAGAAAACAACAAAAGTGCTGTCTTATATAGGTATTAGTTAATAAAGAACACCTGTCCTGATCAGCACTCCTGAATCCTGAGGCTGCACCTACTAATACATTGTAACAAGACATATAAAACCATTGTATCAAAAGTAGTGATCTCAAAGAACAACAAGAAAGGAAGAAAAAAAAAAATGAAAGTGAAGTGGAATAAAAAGATAAACAAAGAAAGAGAAAAAGAAAAACGGATAAAAATTGTGAAAAAATAATTATGAAAAAATTATAAATGAAAAATAGAATAACAAACACAGATGAAAGTGAGTAAATATCCCAAGAAGATATGGGCTAAGAAGCCATATTTGTAAATAGTAAAAATTTAAAATATAAATATATGCAAAAAAGCATACAAAAACGCATACAAAAATCACATAACGCATGTGTACTTGGGATAAAATCACAAAAAAACATACATATTCAGACGGCAGAAAAAAAAAAATAAATATATATATATATATATATATATATATATATATATATACATATTATATATATATATATATATATATATACCAAAAGTAACGTATAAAAAAACAACGCATCAAAAAACAAAAGGAATGCATCAAAAAAAAAAAAAAAAAAGAAAAAGAAAGGAAAATCCCAAAGGGAAAAGAGAGATGGTATTAAAGATGTGTGTGCACATGAATATGCACATGTAAGGTGCATGATGTGCCCAAATGAACGTGCATCTAAATAAACTAAGTAATTAAATATATAAGAGGATACATATACATACATATAAGAATACCTTCCTTTTGCACAACTACAAAAACGTATCACCACCTCTTTTGAAAGGACACATTTTTTCAATGACCTGTACTGCCATAATATCTCCTGCACAGGGGCGGACTGACCATTTGGAAACTCGGCACTGGCCGTGGACCCAGGGTCAGTAGGGGGCCCCATGAGATGCCCCTGGTACCTTTTTCATAGGCTTTTTTGAGTTTGGGCAAGGACACAGGGGCCCCATGATCCCCTATTGCTTGGGGGCCCCATTACTTGTTAGTCCGCCCCTACTCCTGCATGACAATTATTGAAATGGCGGGCCACACTAGTAGAGAGATGTCTTTCTATACTATATAGATGTTCATAAAAAATGATCCCTTAAATGTCTGATCGTACGTCCCACATACTGAATATTACAAAGTTTACAGGTGATCAGATAAATCACATAGGTGGTATTACAGTTATAGAAGGAAGCAATACTGTATTCTTTATTATGAGCAGTAGACAAATGTATTGGCCTTCATAATATATATATGCAGCATGGACAAGAGAGCGCACCACAACGGTAGTTGCCTTTGAAATGCAACCACGTAGTGGATTGTGCTTGTATGGGACTATAGAAGCTGGGAGACAAAGTGTTACCTAAGGTGGGGGCTCTTTTTGAAACTACATTAATACCGTTCTTGAGTATATTTGCACATATCTGATCCTCACATAGGTTAGGAAGATAATGGGTGACAATGTGTTTAATGTCATTAAATTCCAAACTGAATGGAGTAGAAAAAGTAAGATTCCTTTTACTGGATTGATTGACATTATCATTTCTCTTACTATCACTCCCACTGCATGGTTTTTTTTCTTCAATAGAAGATCTTCCCTTCGTTTAGAAACTGACTATACAATATGCTCTATCCAGCATCCATTTAGGATATCCCCTATGTAAAAAGCACTGGTATGTAGCGAAATCCTGTTTGACAATACAGCTGCGACAAATGCGCAAAAATTGTCCAACCGGAATACTTTTGATAGTATGTCTAGGATTGATTGACTAATAAAAGAGTATTACCAGATAGAGGTTTCCTGTATAGACTAGTGGTAACTCTACAATTATCACCGGTCAGACGGACATCGACTTGTCAGTCCTTTTATCTTATTTAAAACAACAATCATAAGAATCTGTCATTCACAGGACAATCGGACAATAAAAGAGTATTACCAGATAGAGGTTTCCTGTATAAACTGGTGGTAACTCTACAATTATCACCGGTCAGACGGACATGACTTGTCAGTCCTTTTATCTTATTTAAACAACAATGATAAGAATCTATTATTCACAGGACAATCGGACAATAAAAGAGTATTACCAGATAGAGATTTCCTGTATAGACTAGTGGTAACTACAATTATCACCGGTCAGATGGACATTGACTTGTCAGTCCTTTTATCTTATTTAAACAACAATGATGAGAATCTGTCATTCACAGGACAATCGGACGAGAGAGATTTTCTTCCTCGATGTCCGTCTGACCGGTGATAATTGTAGTTACCACTAGTCTATACAGGAAACCTCTATCTGTTAATACTCCAGAGACTGCAAGGGGGAAAGTACACAGAGAGGAACATGGCTGCCATTAGAAATCATGGGGCCCTGTACAACCTACCTGACAGGGTCCCTTCACCTAACAAAGGTCAAGGTTTGAGCCCAACTACCCCTCCCCCAGCCTGCAGTCAGTGTGCGTTGTCAAGACATTTAGGTGTGGCAAATTTGAGTTAACAATAGAAGGGGTCAGACAGGGGTCAAATGTATGTAACGTACAGAGTGTAGGGGTCTGGAGTATGTAACATAGAGTGCAGGTATAGGGTGTATATAATGTACAGAGTGCTGGGTTCAGGAGTGAACAATGTAGAGAGTACAGGGATCAGGAGTTGGTAATGTACAGAGTGCTGGGCTCAGGAATAGGTAATATACAAAATGCAGGGGTCAGGAGTGGGTAATATACATAATTCAGGGGTCAGGAATGGGTAATGTACATAGATCAAGAATTAGGAGAGGTAAATGCACACAGACCTGGGATCACAAGTGTGTGAGATTACAAGGGTTAGGAGGGGTAATGCACAGGCAAAAGCTGTAGAAGTGGATGGGGCAAAAGCTGCAAAGTCAGGGTGGGGGTATACACATGCTGCAGCCGCGATGTTTTGCATCATGGCTGGGCAAAACGTATCCCCCTGTTGTGTTCAGCCACTGAACGCAACCCATTACACCGTATGGAGCCAGCCTCCATCTGCATACAATGCATGCAGTTGCAACATGGTGATGCAGGTTTTTAGAGGTAAGTCAGGAGTGATGAATTAATATAATGCTTCATCGTTGCCTATCAAAACACTCTCTGAAATGTGATCCATTGTGGTCTGCTCTTCAGAGGGCAAAACAAGTATTAAAAAAAAAAAAAAAACTTCCCCATGCCCCATTTCTTCAGCAAGGAGCAGGAAGGGAATTATTTAATGCCTTTGGGTGCAGGTGGCATAATCTTCAGTATTGCATTCCCCAACAACTACAGTCCCAGCCTGCCACGACTGATTGAAATAGAAGAAGCCAGAACTTTAATTTAATTATTGAGAACTGTGGTGTGGAAGATTACTCTGTCTGCACCGCAAAGGCAATAAATAGTCCTCTTTCTGCCACTGCCACCCCATCCCTGAACAAATGGAGCCCAGGGAAGTTTATTTTAAAGTATGTGGCAGAGTCCCATTTGCTGCTGCCCCCCTATCCCTGATCCCAGGACACAGGCTGGAACTGAGCCATGGCAGGACATCACACAAAAAAGCATGACTGTCTTGGACAGTTGGCAAGTATGCTTATGTGCAGCGCAAAGGAGGCAGGCTGTAACACCCACACACTGCACATATTCATCCAGGGGTGGCAAAGCTTTCTGTGCAGATAGCACACTCCCAGCTCAGTGACCAGCTCTTGCTCTCTACCAATGATTGAGAATCAGTCCTATCATTGGCCGGTCCCTTCTGCCCCCCTCCATCCTTGGGGGTGTAGACCCTGTTAAAAGGCAAGAAAAGGTTAAGCATAAGTAATATATGAATACCTACAAAACAATGATAACCTAACCTGATAATTCCTACATTACTCACTTGTTTTCTCACCTTGCCAATGCAAACATATCAGCTGCTGTCAAATTGGTGTATGACCCCTCCATAGCGGGTGATCCATCTCCTGTCTGATCTCAGGGCTGATAAATGACACTTTTTGGGCAAAACTACCAGTTTAAGCTCTGCTTAGCTGGTTTGAAAATTCACAAACTCCTGCGACAATGCACAGCCAGGAAATGACATCACTATTTCCTGCTGCAACTTCCATTGTGGCCCTCCCACTTATTTAACTATGAAAATTCATCATCACACCACTGAAAATACTTGACGGCTTCTTGAGTCACTGAATTTTACTGGGTTGGCATAATTGCCAAGCAACCAGCATTTTTATATGAAGGTGAACAATAGTCGTCCCTATCATGTCAGGTTTATTTATTGTCCCTGGCACTGGAGTTATGAAATGTAAATGAAGGTGCTAAATCCGATTCCTTTTTTTTGTAAATTGCAGATGAAGGCGGTATTTACCGCAGACACAGCTCAAATGGCAGGCCTGCCCCAGTGAGCGACACCGAGTGTGACGTTCACATTGCGCCTCACACCAGAGTGCTACGTTCACGTTGCAGCTCCACCAAAATGCCAGGGGAACCAGGGGAGCATCTCCAGTGAAGATGGGGGCCAAAGTACAGGAAAGGATGTGCAGATACTAGTGGTAGGGGACTCAGTGATTAGGGGGACAGACAGGGAAATCTGTCATAAAGACCCTGGTCACCGAACAGTATGTTGTTTACCGGGCGCTCAGGTTGGGGACATTGTAGATCGGATGGACAGATTGTTGGCTGGGGCTGGGGAGGATCCAGCTGTCATGGTATATATTGGTCCCAAAACAAATTTAGAGGAACATGGAGAGCCCTACAGACTAAATTCAGGGACATAGGAGTTATATTGAAGAAAAGAACCTCCAAGACAGTATTTTCAAAAATACTGACTGTTCATGGAGCCACACCAAAGAGGCAGCAGGAGCTTAGGAAGCTTAAGATGTGACTGAAGAACTGCTGCAGGGAGGAAGGGTTTGGGTTCCTGGACTTTTTGGTTAGTTTCTGGCTCTACAGCAGAGATGGACTGCACTTAAATGGGAAGGGTACAGCTGTGCCGGGACAGTAAAGTTAGAAAACCACCTTGGGAGTCACAATATTGTTGCCAACATCCCAGAGGTATCAAAGAAAGGATTTTTCCCAAATCAATAATGGGACTTTTAAGGCAACATACCAAAGTAAAAATAACATCACTTTTATTACAAATATTAAAAGAAATTCATTTTTCAAAAAAGAGCACAATAGGTAAAAACAAAGAATATAAGGTGGCTGAAGTAGCTAGTGCAAGCTTGATATGACAATAAAACTTTCCGAATGATGAGAAGGGAAGAATTAATATATCTTCAGTTAGAGTAGCTGACGCATTTCAGAACATTGTATTTTCATCAGGCGTAGACTGAAGAAAAAGGATGGCTGAAATAGATCCTTTAAATATAATGAAAAAAACATTAGGCATCACTGCTTGTAGTTGTATCAACTGTAAAACTGCATTATCATGCACAATACATGTTACATACCATCCACTTATTCTTTTTCTTTTCTATACCACCAAAAGATTAAAAACTTCTTTATTGTATCCACCAACAGCGCTAGCCAGCGTCCCAAACCAGGTATTCCACATGGGGGAGCTACATGGATCCTACACTGGGGTCATTCGGACTCCTCCAGGGTCATATACAGAGCTATATTCCCAGAGAAAACATATGGGGAAAGAATTATTACATGGAGACCATCCCTAAGCTAAATGGATTACCACAGGGTTTGCTAGTTGATGCTAGTTAAAGTGTGAGGCCCAACAAGGGAAAAATATCTATCTTCTAAATCCCCAAGCATAACAATCCCAGGCTAAATTTTAATAAATATTTCAA